CGACAGGGACACTCGTCACTACTACTCTTATTAGATTTTATGACTAGTCGTCAATCAGAGTACTAGGGCGTGTATGCATGACGGATAAAAACTCGGACTAGTCGTGGACGAGTAGTTTTTGAGACAAAGACTAGACGGGACGGGTCAACTTGGCTAGAAAAAAGACTAGTCATTTAACCAGTCTTTTGCTCACTTGGGTATATTCAACTAAATTATATATAAGAGTGATGTTTGTTGAACGTATAATATTAAACGACCATACTAAGAACGAATATTGTGTTATGAACCTTTGTAAAAATATTAAAATTATTTGTTAAATGAACTTGTTAATTTCGTATCCCGAGACACATATAATATACGACTTACAAGAATATTAGAAGCCGATATTTCATATGTCGGCTATTACGTAGTGTTTTTACTTTTAAGCTTGCTTATCGTATTTTGCGTCTTTTCCGATGATCAAAATATTTTTTTGCTGGAATCTTTTTCGTTTTCTCTTATTAAATAGAACATTTCTTATTTCTAGAATATTTTTGACTTATAATTATAATGGAGCAATAGAAATATAGATTGGAATCAGAGGAATAATTCTCGCTTAACCCTTTGTGTCCAGGCTTTTTTTTTTACTGAATTTAAGCTTACAAAAACATACTAGTATGCATCTAGATGATACAACGAAGCCTTTGGTTACATTACATAAAAGGAATTGTGATTATATGACTGTATATTTAATAATTTCAATGTTGATATACATAGTGTTTTGATGATACAAAGAAAAACAATTTTTCACACATAAACAAACACCACAAAAAGTATTCATCGCATCTGTTCTTTTTTCTTCTTCTTCTTTCGTGGTACAATAAGCACATCGACGACGAGTTGAAATAACTTCTGGCATATGAGCTAAGAGTTCGCACCTTCTTCTGATTACTTATTGCTAAAGGTCGTCTTATCCTTTTTCTACTAAAATAATTATTTATCAGTGCAGTACTAATAGACGATATATATTCTATACCGTAGTAATATTACTATTGGAAAGATTTTTATAATAAATAAATGAATTTAATAATGACATACCAAGAAAATGAAAAAATATTCTCATCCAATTTCTCTTTGGCTTTCGATCTATAGTATAATACTTTATTTTTTGGTCAGATAAATCTACATCTGCCATGTATTTATTATACTGAACAATTGCTAATGGACAAGAAATTTGCTTTCTATTGCCGTCTTTATCTCGTCGGCTAACTTCACTCTCAACTACAGGGTCGAAATAGTTTGATGCAATAAATACTTCTTTCTTGTCCGTCCATTTTATTACAGAAAGCTCCATTAGGTGTTAGATATCGATAATCGCCTCTCTCAAGTTTTTCTCCTTTCTTCAATTTAGTTGGAAAATATTTTCTATCGGAACGAATTGTACCGGTAGCTGAAACCTTTTTCTCCTCAGCTTGTAGAGTAATTGTAAAGAAGTAAAATAACTATTATCAAAAAATAATTGACGATTCTTCATTTAAAAACTTGAGTTATTAACTTTCCATTCCCAATCGTCCATTGAACTTTGCCTGAATTCTTCTTCGACTAATGAACCATCGTCTTCGGAATCACTTCTTTCAAGTTCATCAGAACTAATTGAACTATCATTTTCATCGGATAAGGTTTCGTCAGAATCTGAATCCATTTACTTTTAGAAAACGGTTACGGTACGGCTAGGTTTTCGTCATTACACAAAGGCACAATTAGTCGAAACACGACATTTTCAAAAGCTTAGGTTTTTGAAGAAAACTTTCTGAAATGAAATACACATATCCATAGGCGGCGGAACGATTTCAATCTAGGGTAGGCTCAATTTTCCAGCGAAATGATGTCAGGATGATAGTGAGAAAATGGCGCTCATCATATTTTTTCAATGCTAGACGCCATATGCCTTTTTGCTAGATTTTGATTCTGTATAAGTGTGATAACTTTAGAGTGCTTTATTTTTTTGAGATAAAACAAGAAATAACGAAGTATCACAGAACAACTACTTAAAAAATAAAACGAATCTAAAATATAATAAAACCACACAGCACCAAAAAATGTTTTTCTATTTTCAGTCTTTGAAATAAAATCAGAACAGACGCTCTTTAAATCAAGTGAATCGAATTTATCTTTATGAATGTGAGGAATAATAACGTGATTTAAACGTTGTTGACTCATTGTGCAGCGTAAATACTTTTTTTTTCTATTAAGAACACTGAGCGATCTTTCGGCAGTGGCTGTTGTTACAGTTACTGTCAAATATAATGTTGTGTAATAATACGTCATCTGTCATGACAACAAAAACTGAACTATAAGAAGATACGTTTACATGTAATAGAGTCTACTCAAGCGTTTAATTCTTATAGTTTCAGCCTACCCAAGTCTACCCACGCCGAATGACTCCGCCGCCTATGTTAGAGTAGTAAGCGAGCGCACTTAAATATTACAACAGTTGCCGAGGAGTTACCTGGAGATTTCACACCAAATCAGAATGTTCGCGGAAAATTATCAAGATGCCCTCGGAGAGACTATAACATTAGTTGATTACATCAGCTCATACAAATCCCCAAAGTAATCTATATATGGGTGTATAATTATCGATAGATATATGCATAGACATGGGAGTGGTCACTCGTTATATAACGGACACTTTCCCTTTTTCAACAGGTTGGGAAATAGAAAATGAAATCGAGAAAGAGAAAAGAGCGAGTATATAAAAGGACGAGAAATTGATGGCATAGGTGGGGATTTTTTAGTTAGGGTAGTAACAAGAAGGAGAATACTTAGAAGATTAAAAACAGTAGTTACGTAGCTAGACATATCAAACGAAAGATAGGGATCATTACCGTGGAACTGTTGTATCACAATCATTCTTTTTATAATTTACGTCTCAACGCTCAATTTATCTCATTTATACCAGTTTATTGTTCATTGTGTGTATTCATCTTATTATTCAAATAAACATCAGTGAATTCGTAACGTTATATTTTAATTCATTGATTTATCTACGAATAAGTACCGACCAAAAACAAAAATATTTCGTTACAATTTCCTATTTAGAAAATCGCACACATTTCTTACAATCTAGAAATATGTTTGTGTGCCAAAAAGTACGTCCCTCGTAAAGCACGAGATTACATAGGGGTTATATAAACCACTGGACGTCCGCTCATAAGTCATAGAACTAATGGACATCCTTGTATATGACGACACATAATCACCCACTGAACAATACGTAATCGTTCCCTATATCCTTTTCTTTCTCTATATCTGTTTGTCTCTATGTATGTTCTCTCTCTAGTATATAAACTCGCGTTATATGTGAAATAGACAGCAGTATAATAAGAGTAGTATTAGAGCAGTAGAAAGGCCGTTGAGTCGAGTTCACTTCTAAACAAGTCAAGTTCCAAGAAGATCGTGTGGAATTGTTGTTAATATTATACACACAGTGGCTAAAATAAATAGCTGATACTGATCTACTCTTTGTTGTCCATCATCCTATATCAGGATACTATACGCAATTCTATATACAGTAAAGTGCAGAAGTCTTTGCTCTGTATATTGTCCAACATTTTTAAAGTATATCTCTCGAAATTTTTAGACAGATTTTTCGAGAACATTCTAGTAGGTGAGAAGAGGTATATATATAGCTGTGTATATCGCGATTCATCGTAAACATTCTTCATCATTTTGGAAAAGATGTTTCAACAGCGAAATCTTAGTGCAATGAAAACGAAGCGATCAACTATTTTACATTATTGGAATAATGGGCATCGATCTCCTGCGACAATTGCTCGTATAACAAAGATCCCAATTAGGACTGCTAAATACAATATTGTCAAGATTAAAAACCAAGGCACAATTGAGGATAGATCACGCAAGATTACAGCAAATGATGACAAACTAGCACTCGGTCAATGGATTCGGCGAAACAACATCGCAAGAACTGGTACAAAAACGACTTCATGATCGAGATCTGAATGTGTCCAGATGGACAGTGCAACGTCAACTCAAACGAATGGGTTACAAAAGTACTTTGCCCCTATGGAACACCAATATTAACACAGAAGCACAAAGAAGCACGTGTTCAATGGGCAATCCAACATAAAGATGACGATTGAAGTCGAACAATATTCACAGATGAAACCTCTTATTAATTGTTTAGAAACACCATTCGTCGATGGTCTAAAAATCCAAGAGTTGAAGTTAAGGGAATTTCCAAGAATAAACAGAAGATTATAGTATGGGGAGGCTTCAATCATTCATCCGAAACAATTATGAATGGTCCTTTCTATGTTCAAATTCTTCAAGATCATCTTATCCACAATGCCAGGAAGCAAACTTCATTGACGATGGTGATTGCAGCAAGATAATGATCCGAAGCACAGAAGTCAGGTGGCTCAACAGTTTTTATGCAAAGAAGTACCGGACGTGATCGACTGGCCGTCAAATAGCCCCGACATAAACCCGATCGAGAATGTCTGGTCTATCATTAAGCGTCGTGTCGAGAAGCGATATCCTATATCACTTAGTAAAATCTATGAAATCTCGATGCTTAGCCTTGATTGACATGAAAGGAGAGAGAATTAATTATTAATTGTAACACTTTTGTACCTTGTAATATGCCTTATCCTTGTATATATTTCGTTTTTATATTCATCATTTCTTCTCTAATATATAGCTGCAATACTGAGGGCAAAGACTTTCGCACTTTGCTGTATCTCGGTAGTTATTTCAAGAATATTTACGCGACCTAAATATGTTTCCGTTACAGTTTGACTTATAACTAGACCTACGACAGCTCTCGGTTCTTTGAACCGAATCTTTTCGAGGAACTGTATCCAACACACAGTTCCTTTCCAGGAACTGTAGTGAATACACAGTTCTCCGTCAGGAACCCAGATCCCCAGAACAGTTCCTGCCCAGGAACCAGATCCTCCGAACAGTTCCTACCCGGGAACTGTGTCGACCCGAACAGTTCTTGGCC